GCACTCCTTCGAATTAGCAGTGATAATCAAGAAATGAAAGTTGCAATTATTTCTCCTGGGAAAACCACTCTTAGTACTATGCACTATATGCAGATGAAAATGGTAAGGGCTGAGAAGGTAACAGTGTTCAGTTGGTATTTATTTCTCCTGGAAGATGTAGGGATTGGGAGGGAGGCAAGGATAAAGCAGCGGAAGAAGTAATCAAGACTTCACAGTATTAAGGATGGTGGAAAACTTCCCCAGCCAAGGGAGCAGTTCTGAATGCTTTGCTATACATTCCTAGGATAATATGATGAAGAAAAGATAGAGACAGATGTGGGACTTCTTCATGCCCCAAACTGAACTTACTTATTTTCATTTGTTGTCTTTTAAACCACAGAAGTGTTAACTGAATAACCCTATGAAATGAATTGGAGTTCAGATATCTTAGAGAATCATAAAAATAGAAATGGAAGTTTTCTTTATTTTATTCTAGAGGGAAAGGGCTGTTTTGGGCACTTTTCATGGCTGGGGGAGCAGAACCGATTTACTTGTTAATCTTTTGGCAATTGAGAAATCTTTTTTATTTTTGAAATGGAGTCTTGCTCCATCACCCAGGCTGGAGTGCAGTGGCACAATCTCGGCTCACTGCAACCTCTATCTCCTGGGTTCAAGTGATTCTCCTGCCTCAGCCTCCTGAGTAGGTGGGATTACAGGCACCCACCACCACGCCCGGCTAATTTTTGTATTTTTAGTAGAGATGGGGGTTTCACCATGTTGGCCAGGCTGGTCTTGAACTCCCAACCTCAGGTGATCTGCCCACCTTGGCCTCCCAAGTGCTGGGATTATAGGCGTGAGTGCCCAGCTGGCAATTGAGAAATCTTGACCTTGGATTCCTAGCTGTGAACTTCCTCTTCATCAGCAACTGAGTCCACACTGGAACATTTTCAAAGGAGTACTAGTAAGATTCACCCATCAAAATGTGGTGTATTACAAGATCAATGACACCCTATAGCCTTTGTTCCCATGGGCAACTTTGCTGTAAGACACGTAGTTAAGGATAAAAAATACCTCAGAAAGAATCTGACATGTATTTTCAAATGCAGTGAGTTAGGCGGAATGCAAAGCAGAGTAGCAAGAGTTAATGTTTTTACCTACTGCGTACTTTTGTCTTTTACATGTGTATTTAATATGTTCAATGTAGCAAGAATTGCTGATATTATTACTGTGAGGTGACATATGTAAAAAATAACCCTAGGAACAGGTAGTATACATCAAGACCAACACAAATGCATTGATAAAGATGGAAAACACAAGAGAAAAACATTAAATACTCTTATTACAAGAAAAAAGGATAAGGGTTAAATGATTCAAAATCTAAACAAAAATTAATATACAGATATACTGTCCTCCATTCAGTGCATGAAAGAATTATCTGGTTATAAAAATCAAGTATCCTTACATTCTGCGTTTCTTGGATACAATTTTCTCCTCAAAAATAATTTTTCAACTATTCCAGGAAATTTTTAAATCTAAAGTAACTCTTTTTAATCTGGACTCCAAGAAGAAAAAAGAAATGAATACTTACAATGAATTGACTGCTCTGCCTTGAAAACAAAAAAAAAGAATTTTACTTTTAGGTTACAAATAATGGGGATCATGATGCAATTCATATTCTAGTATTACCCCCAAAATAAGGGCAGATAAAATCAGATTCATCATTCTTTGTGATAAGAAATAATACCTTCTCAGAAGGCAAAGAAAAGAACTTCAAGATCAGTAATAATGGAGAAGAGTTAACAAAATGTTTGAAAATTCTAGCATTATAAGATTAAACTTAATAATCAAAGGGCTGTCAGTTTTTATACGATTGTCATAAAAAATGAAAGTCAAAATTCTTCTTGGTAAAGTCAGGTGTCTGGACAAACTGTCACCTTCATTCAGGTTACCTTCGCTTGAGGTAAAGACCTTTTCATCTGAATTTGCATGAAAGGTTTCTGCAGGTTGACAGCATGAGGCTCTTCTCCGGTGTGCACTCCTAGGCATCTGAACGCTGTGTGTGATTAACTGAGGCTCATTTTATTATAGTTTAAATCTGCAACATACATTCAATTCAGCTTTTTTTTTTTTTTTTCCTCAACAGTTCTGCCTAGTATCCCTGTTAGGCACAGGCAAAATCTTTATTTTTACAAGGACTAAATCATTATGAATTTGAGAGAAGTCAGTCATCAGGAACTAGCAAATACAGTCATGTGTTACTTAATGACAAGTATACATTCTGAGAAATGCACTGTCAGGCAGTATTTTCCTTGTCCGAACATCATAGAGTGTACTTACACAAACCCAGATGGTATAGGCTCCTACACACCTAGGCTATATAATATAAACTAGTGCTCCCAGGCTACAAACCTGTACAGCATGTTACTGTACTCAATACTGAAGGCAACTGTAATACAATGGTATTTGTGTTTCTAAGCATAGAAAAGATACAGTAAAAATATGGTATTATAATCTTATAGGACCACTGTTGTATATGCAGTCTGTGGTTGATTGAAATGTCATTATGAGCTGTATGACTATATACTGCCAATTTTTCACTTTAGAGACTATAAGCCTAAAGGAAAGAGAAAGCCTGCGATTAAACAATGCTTTAACCTGCAATTAAACAATGCTTTTCAGTCTCTGGAGTTTGGATTCATAGTTGGTATTTATCAATGGTTGCTTGTATCACAATTTTAACATAAAGGATCACCCAGTTATCTTTCAGAGTCTAAAATTAAAGTCTTCATATCTTTCTATTGTGATTTTGGTGTATGTATGTATTATTAAGCACAAAACCTCAAAAGATCTGGAAAGTGCCATAGAGCAAGGTGCTTTCATAAGGGAAGTAGATTTTTTTTTTTTTTATTAAAACATTTACTCATTCTTTTTTGAACAGGCAGTTACACAATGTAGTTTTAGCCTGCTGAAGTCAGTGGCTAGATAAAGCAAAGTCACTATCAATGATTTGCTTCTGAATAAAAGCCTTATATCCCAGGAACAGAGCAGGCGCTCCCTGGCGAGTGAGAACCAATACCAGTCAATTCTGCTGGTAGCAAGCAAGATACCTGGATAGAAAAGTAGCACTCCAGAGGCCTCAGGAGTGCTAACAACTCTCTTCTCCCTTGTGCTCAAAGTCTCATTCAATGTATTTACTTCTAGTGTCTACATGAATATGCTCACAAAAAGTCTGAATAAAAACCAGATACCATTTAACATTAGTATGTTATTAAAATTTTACCTCTAGTATTCCTGGTGAGAAGTCACAAATTCAAGCAAATGGTTTTGTTATCACTTTTGGGCTTCATCATGTTAAACAGAAAAGATGTTGCTAAAAATACGACAACCCCTGTCACTTTATTGCTATGGTCTAAGTGATTTGGGCTATTTAGTGATTTCTGTATCATCTAAGACAAACAAATCAAGAACTCCGTTTAAAGCAGTTATTGCAGAAATACACTGTGTGAGGCCCCAGTTAAGCTTTTACTGATTTGAAGTGTTTATCTCAAATAAAAATTAAAAAATACTTTTCACTGAAGGTAACTGAGAAATTGTTTGATTCAACATAAAGACGAAGACACATTTTCTTCTATTTTTTGAGACAGTACACTTTGTGATTCACAGGATAACTTGCATCAGACGCAATTTAATGAAAGCTCTCAAATAAGCGATTTTATTCCTATCCATGATTGCAGACATTTACAAAACCATAACATCTGAGTTCACCTTAAAAAATAACTTATATAAAGCAGTGATATACACAGCACAAAATAGTTCAGGGAGGGGGCAGGAGCAACTTGTAATAATTAAAATGTAAACGTGAAAAAAAGGATGGAATAAAAGTCCCTACTTATTTCTACTTAAGATGTCATGTGATAATATTTTACAATGTCCTGTGGGTCAATGTATGTATGTGTATATGTCTGTATAACATACACATATACAGTACATTCTCTTTCCCACACATATACATACACACATAATTATTTGCAGTTCAGTTTAGGGCAATTCTAATATGCCACTCCGTACAGTTGTTTGAATCACGTTTGGACCCGCTTTCTTCACAAAAGAGGGGAGAGAGCAGGAAATAAAAAGGTTGGTTTGGTGTGACTGAGATTCCTTTGTTTAACTGTACACTGTGATGAATAATTTTCTTCCGTAGTAGTTCTGTGAAGGGCTGACTCACTGTGGTTTTCATGAGGAGACTTGGTAATGGATCACACGCTCATTGTCATGCTAGGGGAGTACTAGAAGGAAAGAAGAATCCATATTTTAACAACAATTCTTTTAGAGATCACTAAGGTTCTTCTTGGTACAACAGAAACGAAGAATTCTAATTTCTTATCATCTTTTATGTGCAAGCTTTTCATCTCATACAACATAAAATAAGAAACTATAAAAAAAGTAAACTGATACAGACTTAACCTAATACTGAAATTTTCAATATTTCCCCTGGAAAGCATCAAGTCCTATTCTCTCCCTGCACCCAGAAGGCTGATCATTACCCAGTCCCTCTGCCTCCTCCCTCCAGACAGACTGATGTTTTGCAGGCACTTGTAAAAACCTTGGGTAAATTTAGTCCAAGGCTGGATCATAACTAAGTAAGTATGAGGACTAGTCTTTGCCACCTACTAGCTTGTAAACTGAGGAGGCTACCTAACCTGTCTTGACTTCAGTTTCCCTATCTGTAAAGGGGCTTGGGGAAGAAGAGATATAAAATCCCTAAACCAAATATTTATTGAATACATAGAAAGTGCTCAGCAAGTTTTAGGTTAATATTGTAGGGAAACAAAACAAAAACAACTGCAAGCTGGCCCTGGGAAGCTCTCATTAAAGCACTGAAAATACTTAAGAAACTAATTTATACTGCAGCATTTAAGCATCTTGCCCATAATCTGTGCTGTAATCTTTTTTTCTGAAACAGGGTCTCACTCTGTCACTCAGGCTGGAGTGCAGTGATCTCAGCTCACTGCAACCTTGACTTCCCTGGGCTCAGGTGATCCCCCCACCTCAGCCTCCCCAGTAGCTGGGAGTACAGGCACAAGCCACCACACGTGGCTAATTTTTGTATTTTTTGTAGAGATGGGGTTTCACCATGTTGCCCAGGCTGGTCTCAAACTCCTGGGCTCAAGCAATCTGCTTGCCTTGGCCTCCCAAAGTGCTGAGATTACAGGCGTGAGCCCCTGTGCTTTAACTGTAATCCAGTCATTTTTGCACGTGAGTAGGAACATCATTGTTACATGCTGACTTGTCAGTTTGATGAGGCTGACAAATGATAAAAGGTGAGGGTTTCAGAGGTTTGGAAAAAAATGGTTTCAAAAATGATTTAGAGAGAAATAAAGAGCAATTATTTTGCTAATTGTGCCACTGTACCCTCATATTCTTGGGGAATAGACTGTGACAGAAAAGTTCTACAGCAGCACCATGCAAGAGAACTTTCTTCAATGACATATCTGTTCTGTGGTCTGTGCTGTCCAACTTGGAGGTCACTAGCCATATGTGCCTACTGAGCACATGCCATGTGATTAGTGCAGTCAAGACACTAAATGTTTAATGTTATTTACTTTTAATTTATTTAAGTTTGAGTATCCACATGTGGCTAGTGGTTACATTTTGAACAACACAGCTCTAGACTATCTGAGCTGTGGGGAGAGGCATCTAATCCCACATGTGGGATTGAAGACTCTTTGGATGAAGACAGTTTCTAAATTAAAATATAAATGTGGACCCTGAAATGTGAAATATTTTAAATGTTTTATTGGAAGCTCATGAGAACCAGGGTAAAAGGCAATTACCTTCAACATGCTAATAACAATTGTGCCTCCTGGAAAAAGGCAGATAAAGGCAAAGGGATTGGTCCCAGGCTCCAGGAACCTAACCAGAAGCTGTGATAATCCTGGGTAGGGGAGCACAAACTTTTCAGAAAGTTGGCAGAAAGAGAATAAAATGAAGTGAATTCTAGACAGGCTGAGACCGGCTGCAGAAATCAGAAAGGACATATAGGTGTATACTGATGTAAGGACTCCCCAGGGAAGAGCACAGAGGGGCAATGGCTCAGCTGGCACATGTCTGGGCCAGATGTCATTAGGGCTCAAACCAAAAGCATGCACTGTTCCTGAGGAAAGGTGGGTGATTAGGCCTGGAAAAGGGTCACTGGACTATAGGAAGAGGATTGTTTAATCCTTTAAACATGCATTACATCAAGAAAAATCTATTAATACTTGTTAATCACTTCACAGCCTATAGTGTTTCAGTACAGGAAAGTGAAATTACATACTTGAACTGATCCTGTAGGTAGGATTATAGTGAGTATAAGGTGATTAAAAGGGGAGACTTTTAGACAGATCATAGGAGAACAAAAAAAAGAGGGAGGCTGCCAGAAACAAGAAAAGAGATTCAGTTTAGACAACCTTTCCCCCTGATCATAGCAGCAGAAAAGCAAAGCAAAGCAAACCCCCCAGTTATAGATAAATGCTGATGACATGGAACTGATCCCTGACCCTGTGTCAGAGGGGAACTTACTACCATTTCATCACATCACATTTCATCCTACCATTTCATCATCACAAACATCATACCATTTAATATGTTTACTCAATTGATCCCATGCACATAATGTGATTCCACGTCTCACATTATAAACAATGACAGCACGCTTCAACTATCCAGAGCCTGTGGCTAAACAGAACTATATTTTGGTATTTAAAAGTTTAGAGGCAAGAATAAATAAAAAGAAAATAAGTGGATAGCAAGGTTTTATTAGAGTAGAAAAAATGAGGTAATATGGCAAAATGGGCACAGATAAATTTAATCTATGCTTGCTACAGCTACTGTTACTTACAATAAATACTGGTGATTCCATCAGCACTGTCTAATATAACTTTCTGTGATGATGATGTTCTAATTCTGTGCTGTTTAGTGCAACAGCCACTAGCCACACACTGCTACTGAGTTCATGAAATGTAGCTAGTACAACTCAGGAACAGAAATTTTTGTTGTTATGTAATTTTAGTTAATTCAATAGGGCAGATAATAAAGATAATCATTCTTTTAAAACAAAGATTTTTTTGAGTATACTGTGTCAATAATATAAAACAGTAAAAGATACTAAGGGAAATGCTTTTTAAAAAAGTTTCTGGGGCCAGGAGCAGTGGCTCATGCCTGTAATCCCAGCACTTTGGGAGGCCGAGGCGGATGGATCATGAGGTCAGGAGATCGACACCACCCTGGCTAACCCGGTGAAACCCCATCTCTACTAAAAATACAAAAAATTAGCTGGGCGTGGTGGTGGGTGCCTATAGTCCCAGCTACTTGAGAGGCTGAGGCAGGAGAATGGCATGAATCCGGGAGGTAGAGGTTGCAGTGAGCCGAGATGGTGCCACTGCACTCCACCCTGGGTGACAGAGCAAGACTCCATCTCAAAAAAAACCCAAAAAATTATTCCAGTTAATTCATATGTCAGGTAATGTTAGGAAATAGTGTTAAAAATATAGAATAGCCTTCATTCTACTATATATTGTTAAGAGTGTGTATATATGTAAAGCTATACATATGCATATACTCTATTATCAAGCATTTTTATTTGTTGCTATCATCTCAACACTGGCAACTGTTAACATTTTTTATCTGTGATATGTCAAATGTTTTAAGTCAATCTTACAGAAAAATGTTATTTTGTTACTGATTTCTTGGGAAGTTAAAGAGCGAGGTTGCCCCAGGGAGGAAACTGAGTGAAAAAAATAGAGAAAATGAGGGCCCAATTCAGTCAAAATGGAAGCATCAGCTCCACGCAATACAACTCAGAAAAAGGAGCAACCGGCCGGGCACGGTGGGTCATGCCTGTAATCCTAGCACTTTGGGAGGCTGAGGTGGGTGGATCACGAGGTCAGGAGTTCGAGACCAGCCTGACCAACATGGTGAAACCCCGTCTCTACTAAAAATACAAAAATTAGCCAGGCATG